CCATTCTTTGAAGTTCATTCCCTAACAGGTATGAAACCTAAATACTCCACCTCATCTTCCACCTCACAGATCCCTGCAGATTAGTATGGACAGATTATAGAGCACAACACCAAGGCCAGATACTTTTGAGCCTGCTAAAATCACATCCCTTTCTCAGTTGTGTATGTTGCTTTCAAGAGCAGCTCCAAGAGTTCTCCTCACATCACAGATCACTCAGCCAAGTAGCTTTAAAGGTGGTCCCTTCGTGTCCTGTCTGTAAGTGCACCTAAATGCACACAAGTAAGTCCCAGCAGCTGTTACCAGCTTTGGGTTTAAGGAGATTTAAATTATAAGGGGGTCAAACTTATTTTTGTTTTTCCATGTTTTCAGAAGAGGCAATGTAGCTGAAGTTGGGAAGGGTATAAAATACATCAAGGTAACAGTGGCATTAATGTTTTCTTGCCAGTGGAATTGACTTCAGCGTATACTGCAAAGTAAATATATCTCTGCAGCACAGATCTTTTCGGTTTGTAAACCACAAAGTTTATCTAGCCTGTCATCTTTATTCCTGTTTGCACACTAGCCACAGAAACTCTGACTGAATTCCAGGTTTCATGTCCAATTCACAAGACTACTGCTTAGTAAACCACTTTTACTTAAAGGTGAGCAAATCTAATGAAGGTATCACCAAGAAACACAGAACCATACTAAACCATTCATTTTCCCAGTGCAAAGGCACATCTGGTATGGAAATACAGAATGCTAAAACAATTATCAGTATGGAAACGCAAACTGCTAAAGCAACTACCATTTTTAGCATGGTCAATGTCTTAAGCTTCCCACCAAACTCAAAGGGACCAGCATTTCACCAGTTTTTATATTTACATACGTATTTTCAAAACAGAAGTAGGAAAAGATATTAGGGGAAAGGAGCTTGAGGCAGATCAACCCCTCGCATTTTTCTCATCATCTTCCTACAGTTGCTTTCTTGCAAAAGTCTGAAACCGTTTCTCAGGTTTTTTTTTCAGAATGATTTTTCAGAAATTTTTCACACAAATATTTGAATACCAGTGAGCAACTGAGTTTTTAAAAAAATTTGTTTGATTGACATATGTCCTCCCTTCTGCCATGTGGCTTTTTTGTTTATACTCCCCTCCCTCCCTCTCCTGCCACAGCTTACAGGTAATTCCTCTTTTCCTCCATGTCACCTGCTAATCTTCTCTGTTCTGCTTTCACTCACTCTTCTCCCTTTCATCTCCTTATTCTTGTCCTCTCTGACCTACCTTAGAAACAAACTCCTATTTTATCTCTTCACAACATCCAAAAGCTGTTCTCCTCCCCATCCTGCATTGTTTGTGGTGAACTGTCAAATTCTATAGTTGAATGTTAACAGACAATTGTCTTCTGGTGATGGGACAGAATTGCTGCATCAACTCAGAATTAATCTAGATTTGCACAGGTTTAAACCGCTCAGTCCCATGAGTCTTTTGGAAGTCTAGGCAGTGTGCTCAGCCAGATGTCAAACTGCAATGCCTTTGCATGCAGACAATCAAAACCAGGAAGCCCTGACCCAGACAGATCCTGAAAACTAGGACAGCTCTAGTTTAAATTAACTAAATCTATATGCAACTGCCTAAAACACATTCCATTCATATTTCAGGCCTAAGAATATCTGAAACTGTATTGAAGTGTACTACCTTGGTTCACTGTAGCCCTTAAAACAAAATCACTCAGGCAGCAACTGATTTTTAAAACAGAGTCAGGCTGGCCCACAGCCAAACACACCATGTTCATCTTCAGGATACCACTGCTGATAAAAAGGCGAAGAGGGAAAAAAAAAATAATCAACAAATACATGATGACAGTTCCCACACATAATTTAAACCAGAAGAGAACTAAAGTAAGGATTGGATCCCTCTATAACACTGCTGACTTGTTCTTCAAGCTGTATTAAATTTGGGAACTAAAAGACAAACAGAAGTTCAATTTTGTTAGTTCTGCAGAGATGCTCCTTCATTTAGTTTTTTTGAACATTAGGCAATAATTTACTCGCTGTGAACTATTATACTCACTGTACAGGTTTAAACAAATACAACATCTGCAATATCACAAGTTGGTCATCTCCCTTGTAACACATGCTGCTAACTCATAGGTCTTAGGGTTTATGATATCAGTTTGCTGCTTCTAGGATCATTCACTAGGATCAACTGCAAAACAGCTAATGAATACATTAACAACTTTATGTAGAAACACATCTACCTGTGTCATCAGTTAACATGAACAGATGAAAAGTTGATAAAGGATGCACTATAATACAAAAATAATTAATATTTTGACATTTATTACATTACTGTTTGACTGATATGAATATAAAACTCCCTTTTAAAATAAAAATGTCTTTGAGAAATCACAAGAATAAAGATCTTTTAAAAAACGTTTTTATGAAGAACTGTATTTCATTCTACATAAAATACTATATAGACACCTAGCGGGAAAAAATGTTTGAAAAAACCAAAGCAGAATAAATATTTTTCATCAGATAAACCAACCAGTTTACACAAAGATTTTAGATTTTAAGAAAAAAAATGTTTACTTTTCTGAAAACACCAACTTTCACTTTGATCATATATTTATAAATCAGACAAACATGGAAAAAGCTATTTACTAATTGTTAAAGAAAAAAAAACCCCACAACAAAAAAAACACCCCTGTGCAGTACTCACTAGGATTATCATTTTGGATCCCTAATGTGCATGCTCTGTAATCCTAGTTTAAACAAAGCAAAATAAATCAAATCAAATCAAATCTGTAGAGCAGGTGATGAATAGTTACTTTGCTGACTCATTCCATCTGTATATACAAGTTCCAACGAAGGGAGCACCCACGATTGAAGACTGCTGTGATGGAGGGGACCAAAACCCCTGTTAGACACACCGCTTTCGATCCATCTGCTGCTAAATCACTGCCGGCTGTCAATCAGAGACTGCAATTACCACACCATACCGGTTAATAGACTTAGTTCCTGAAATCTCCCAGCAGATGTCCTCACGAGGCAGTCATGTCAGGGAGGTTAGAGATGATACCATTTAAAAAAGACTGAGATGGGAAGGAAAATAGACTTAAAATAAGGGTGAAATACATATACAGAAAGACAAATTCAAAGTATTTAATTTATTCTCAAATACCAAACTTAAACATAGGCAGCATATTAAAAAAAATAAGGCTGTCATCTTAAAAACTAAGAGAGTCACCTGAACAAGTACATAACTAGCACATCTGGTCCCAATTTGTTAGGTAATTCTTACACCTCACTTGTAAACAAAACAGAAGGTTCAAAAAATGATGGTGAAAAGCATGAGTACAAGGAAAACAGCATAAAGACTCTAATCCTGTCCTCTTCCCTTCTGTTTCATGTTAAAATTGACACTAATTTTACTGTGTGCACAGAGCTGACGTGCAGCTTTCTGCACTACTCCTCAGTGGCAATGACATACAAATGTTGTCATGAAGTTGGTACTCTTGGAAGCATAAACCTCTTCAGGTATTTCAGGGAAACTTAAAAAGAACAATCGCCTTAAAATAGTGATCCTCATCATTACTGCTACAAGCGTAAAGTTTTGATACCACATTAAAAATATTTTACTTGTCTTCTACGTAGTGAGTAACACACCCACAGCTAACTACCCACAGACGTCTATGAAATTATGATTCAGTCAAGTACTGGTCTAAAAACTCAAAGCTGGGATTCTTTACCCAGGTCTACGAGACCAGTATCTCCAGCCCTCAATCCATTACCTGCTTTAATGCAGATATTCATGGCTTCATAGATGAGAAGGCACATCAGTGAAAGATGAAATCAAGAAGATGAGGATCACTGACTCTTCTTCAAGAGCAGACACAGAAATAAGTGCCGATACTTGGGGCTTATTGGGACACCAGCCAACTGGGATATGTCAGTCATTACAGTTTGGCAGGCAGAAAGAACCTGAGACTGTCCCAGCTTCAAGAAAATGCCAGGAGCGTGGCTCCAATAGCTGGGACACTCTTGTCTGCCAGAGGTTCTTCAGTAGCTCCAACAGCTGGGACAGACTTGTCTGCCAAAGGTTCTTTGGTGGAGCCGTTATGCCAGCTATAGACAGAAAGTGTTGCTATGTTCTACCTGCTGAATTAGGTCAAAGCTAGCATCATCAATTGTAGAAGCAGATTGCTTCTGAAATCAGAGGAAGAGGGTTTTGGTCAGTATCTTTCTAATGCTTCAATAGCACGGGTAACTGATTTTCTGCAGGCTGATTGTCCTCAATTTCAACAATGGAAGTAAAAAGATTTTTAGCATGGTGTCAGTGAATTACCATGGTGAACGATACAGAACTGTCACATTTCTTAACTGGTGAACACTTTCATGCCACAGAGGCACCAGATAAAGTACATTCTGCACTTAGTTTGTCCTGAGAAAAGAAAATCCAGGTTGCACATCCTGAAAAGCATGGTAAACACAGTATTAAAGCTATTAAACTTACTCAGCTTAACTAAGGTTCTCTTCAGCTGTCACGAAAACTGATTATAAAAATCTCTTCAACCTTTTCATTGCGCTTCACAAACAACAACAACAAAAAAGCACAGAAGAATTCTATGAAATCAAGATTTCCATTTAAAATATTAAAGGACAAATACAAATGAAGGATGATGGCAGGGCAGCTACAGTCTATTGTTAACGACTTAAGATTACTTCACTAAGCTGTCTGTCTTTGTCTTGAATATTAAGCATCTCACTCTTTAGCCATATAAGGAACACAGAATTACAGCCCAAGCAGAGGTTAATTCTACTGTTTTCAAATAAAAACTTCTTATGGGAACAAATACACATCTCAAAACCATAAAAGATGCTGAAGCCATCCTATCTGTAACGAGCTCTTCCTCCATAGCTCTGCTTTCACTACGTAAACATATTCCAGTCAAATCTTTACAAATTATGTCAACAGGTCACAACTTCCCCCTCTTTCCCCAGGAAAACTGTGCAAGGATAACTATACACGTATCCAAGAAATAGAGGATGTCATTTTATTGGAGGTCCACAGGTAACTGTATCACATTAGGGAGTGGAAGAATCTCGTGGCATGGCACAACACAATACCTCACTCTAAACACTTAAACAGAAGGTTAAATGATATGTAACATGACCAAATCAGTAATTCTCCATCTTCTAGGCACCACTGATTAATTTAAAATAAATTTTAATAAATTGAAAAAATAATATAGTCCATTAATTTGTTTGTTGCACTGTCTTTAAAGGAAACAGCACTTCGAAAGTCACAAATAAAAAAGCAGCACTTTCTCTTAATACCAACACCACTGTAACACATACTGTAGCGTGGCATGCAAATCCATATCTGCAGTCTTTTTTTCTTTTGTATTAACAAATGGAATGGTAATTTTCTATCTCAAATATTAGTAGCATAACATGTAAGTGCAGATCATTCTGGCCACAAGTGTGGTAAGCCTTAACAAGTGTGTATTACAAGAGCATAGAACACAGAGCATGACACTTACATCCAAGAGTCTCTCTCTTTTGTACTGTACACGGCGTTTGTTACAGGCTGACTTCCAACTTGCTGTACTTGAGCTTCAGGAAACAAGGTTATTGACCATTTCTGGCTTTGTTTAAAAATAAAATGCAGTCACCATCAAAGCACAACCATTAACAACTTGGTCAAAAAAATGTCATAGCCCCATTGAAAAAAAATAACTTGTCTTTTTAGTAGACTCCATTACACGATAAAGTTTCCACTATAGGCATGTTATGAAGTCTTACAGTGGTACTGCAGTGTCATTCCTGTTAAGCAGAGATTTGTATAGACACCAAGAAATGGTGCAATGTTCAAAAAAGCTGTTCAAACTGAGCTAAGCTTCACGAGACCACGTACTGAGTCTTCATGCAATGAATCCTGGCTGGCTAGACTCAGGACGTGCATTGTATGGCTGTGTGTAATAGGACTTCCACTTGGCAGCATCCCAGGGGGTGATGGAGCTTCTTCAGGAGTGAGAAACTGATGACCTTCATGTTCCTCTTTTAATGGTATCATGTCTGTCAAGCCTGTATCTGATGTGAGATTTGGCATAGAAGATGGTGGTGTTGGTTGCCCTAGAGTTAGAGTTGCACAAGGCCCACTGATAGTAGTCTTTCCTGGTAAAGGTAGTTCTTCACTAGTTATGCTTGGCTCACTCTGTAGTAGGGGGGTGGCAGCAGCCTGCAAAACGAATTTAGTGCTCTGAATGCACTGATCTTGGTCACACTGTAGAATGGAAGGGTGTCAAAAATCATATAAGGCAAACAAAACAGAGGAAAAAAGGGAGAATATGGACAAAAAGGTATGGAAAAGAATGGGATGTGAAGAGAAAAAAAAAGAAAGCCATTAGTATCATTCCAAGGTTAGCCACCCAAAAATCCCATTGCATGCTGCCCGGAGGCGGGGGTGGGGGAAAAGCATGCATAAATGAGCCAGTGCTTTGTGTTACTATCAAAGTAAATGATGATAAACATTTAGAGTGTTCACTTAAGGGTTTTGCTAACCTTTAAAATAGTATTTTATGAGAACTGTAATTCAAATGCTTTGCTTATTCTTGTTCAAAGCCATTTGGAAAGCCTAGATACAACAGTCTGTCTGTAACTAACTGCATCGGGTACCTCAAAACCTCCCAGATTCCAAGTGAGGTGAATAATTTCCACACTACTCATTTTACCCTAGAGCAGCTAGCAGTTCAGAGAGAGGCCCAAACGCATAATCGAAGCATCCTTCCAAGTTCAAAAATGCTAGGCAAATATCTGTCTTTAATTGGTCTTCACATGTAGGAAGTTGGTCTTCACAGGGTACAGAAGTTTTCCAGAACAAGAATTCCTTTGATGCAGGTGATTTTATAAAGATATAGCTGGCAATATAGCCTCTACAAGCAAAAATTTACCCCCCCTCCCAATTTAATACCTTACATATATACACAAGCTCTAGAGAATATACTACACTATACTCAATACTCTAGAGGATGTGTAGAAATTTGGCAGCAATGCAGATGCATTAATTTGATATCAACTTTCATGATTTTTAGGCTGTTTCTTGGTTAATTTAATCTTGACAATGTGAAGAATCAAGGTACAAACCCCAAGTTTTCTGGCAAGCACTTTCACAATAACAAGCCAAATTCAGCATTATATAATCCAATTAAGCTCAGCGAGTATTACCAGGAATGCTTTTGGCACTACATCATTCCTAAGAACGGTTTAAATAAAATGACCATCCATTCCTTGAGACAGGACAGGTAGGTGTTTCAATAATGTCCAGCTAGCTGAGTACTACACCTGCTGCCAAATTAAGTTTCTTTAATGCAAACTGGCATGATTTTTGAGAGCTTCCAAGGACAATATGTATTTAATTCATAGCCTGATCAGTTATAACATCTGCAGATTAAGAAAACCCTGTTAGATTCATTTGCTATACCACTGTTCTGCTGTGCAAAAGAAACACTACAGTCAGTGAGTACAACTATAAATCCCAATGCCCCAAAGAAATTTTGGAAGCAAGCAAGCAGGATAAAAAAAAAAAATATATCCAGAGGTAAGACATGCCTATTCGCTGTTGTATTTCAAAAATTCTGTTAAAGCAATATGTTCTGCTTTACAACTGACTACTACTATCTATATCCAATTACTGAAAGGCATTACAATTCCAACATTTGTTCAGGATATTCCAAATCATAACCATTGCTACTAATATTACAGCAATTCCCTAAAATACCCGTTTAAGTTTAACAAGCCACTGTGATATGCTCTGTGTAAACTCATGGAAAGACTTTTGCATCCTTTACTGCATGATGAAAACCATCACTACGAATGTTTCCTCTGATATTTTCAGGTCCTCAATTCGACCACTGGATAGCTTAATGATGGATGCACAATTACATCCAGAAAGTGTGCAAGCAGACTACTTGGTAACAGTAAACAGGTAGTATTTTAAACATGTCCTAAGTGTTTAGGACACCCAGACGAACCACTTTTTGACAGGCAGAAGTCCAATCCTTACTCAATTACGTATTTTCCAACACTTATGCTTTCAGAAACATAAATGCACTGACTTCCTGTTGCAGAAATTGAGTTCACATAAGTTGCAAGCAATTCCCCCCCGCCCC